GGAAGTTGCTCTCATCGGATATTACATTGCACCCTTGCACATGTAGAAACGATCTTGCCACTCGGGGCGGCGTATTTTTATTTTGTTTTTTGAGTTTTTTGAAGGTGATGGTGGGCATGATTGTGTAACAGGTGGGAAGCCAATTGTTCTTGCGCCCTACTGCCACCAGATGTGGGAGGCGGAGGTCAGACTAGCCGTGCCGGTGTCTTTTGGTAAATATAACGTGCTTGTTCCAAGGGTACAGGGTTAGTGCTTCTAACACCGGACGGAATATCCAGGAGCGGCCTGTAATGGCGGGCTTGGGAGGGATGTCCTCCGATATGTCTTGTCGATTGCTCTGCAGGGATGACGGAGCTGACTTGCCGGCGACAAACTGTTCGCAATGCAGAGCTTGGGCTTCCTTGAAAACGAGCCTGCCATAAGCTTCATTTTCATACGTGGACGCTTCGTCCATGGACGAAGAATAGTCGGGCACCTTCGTCCATGGACGAAAAATAGTCGGACACCTTCGTCCATGGACGAAAAATAGTCGGACACCTTCGTCCATGGACGAAACTTGGTCGCATTTCGAGAAAGAAATATTATTTTTTAGAACCTCTTGATCGGATGAATCCTAAGTCTATTCCGCATCAAAGTCTAATTGATTGTTGGCGTTCGAATTTCTGAAAGTGTGCAACATATATATCTATATCGCCCTGCAAACACATATATCTGGAAACTTCGGCGTATTGCTGTGAAGAGATTTTTAGTGTTGCCTCGAGTTTTTGTCATTACGGCCTGTCATACTAGCCGGGATTTCTTGCGAGCTCTGAAACAGTTTCGTCCATTTCGTCCATCGACGAAGAATAGTCGGGCATCTTCGTCCATGGACGAAAAATAGTCGGGCACCTTTGTCCATGGACGAAAAATAGTCAAACACTTCGTCCAGGGACGAAAGTTCAACGGTTCGGAAGCAAATCAAAAGTGCAAACGCGCCGAGTAGTTTTGAGAATAAAAGCGCACCAGATAGCCGAACTGGGCGAAAAAATTAAGGACTTTGCTATTTCATGTGATATTGTCCGAACGACATCATCAAAAAGCTGACTCGGCGCGGCTTGGTCCAGTTACAGGCCACTCCAGCAGAACCTCCTGGACCCACCGCAAGTTTCCTCAAACGCGCGATTGAATTTGCATGTACCCCTGTGAGGGGGTTAGTCTTTTTGTGCCATTGCTTTGAAACCCTCAAATTGATCGTGAACCCGAAAACAAACAACAGAAAAAAATCGTTTGGGTTTTGGTCGCGTGCCGATCAGGATTTTCAAAGAAACATCTAATTTATTTAAAAGAGTGGTATTGACAGTGTCGCGTAATCGGTCTACGAGTATCCCAAACGATTTGTTTCCTCAACGACTTTTTTCAAACGATTTGTTTGGTAGCCAAACGATTTTTTCTCTTGCCAAACGATTTGTTTGGTCGCTAAACGATTTTTTCTCTCTAACGATTTGGTTTGGTGCCAAGCGATTTTTTCTCTCACCAAACGATTTTTTCTCTCACCAAACGATTCTTTTGTTGTGTTTCCAAAGAGATCAACGAATCCATCAATCAACCACTATGGGAAATCAACCAAGGTCTATCGATTATGTATCGAATTGTTTTGAGAATTTTATTTGGCGTCGTATCCTTTCTACAACATTGGAGATCGATCCTATGCAAAATCGGGTTGAGGTATCAAGTCTCGCCTTTTGACAATATCATCATCCTCAAGCTGACAAGGAGATTAAACGGTTGCGTAAATGACCCACTATTAGGAAGGAAATACCCTATTGAAAGTGGCGCCCCTATTGCCAAAAACGAATAAATTGATGACAAGAATTGATGAAGAGTTAATGGTTGATCACATCATCAACATGCCCACCAACGCTGGGTCGACAGCTAGAGGTAATAGAGACGGGACGAATGCTGGCATTGTTGAAGGTGGAACGATATTGGACCAAGGCTAGTGCCTGCAGAGTACGGGAGTAATATCATGCAGCATTTCAATTTGACTTCCTCCATACAAATTCGACATCACGGAAATTTATGGAAGTTCGAAACCAGCAAACATACTTTTAAATGTAACAATAAACCTACTTTTCATAGTTCGATTCAAATGAAGCTAGAAATTAATTGTCTGAGGAAAATGAAAACAAATGTTCAATGATATACTACTAGGTAATTTTTGAACGAATTCCAATTGTTTGTTTGTTGAATTTGTATCTAGAAGGATATCATACAAAGGCATCAAGCGACGATGTCAAGCAAAATGCAGGCTAACAATTCACCGCAAAAGATATCGAAATGAAATGAATCAATAAATGACACATACATGGATGGTGGTTTTTGAAGCAAGAAGAAAGTGTCTCGCAGCTTTTGCTGGTTTGTACTACTAATGTGAACGATGTGAAATTCAAGGAAACAGTGAAGCACGATATGATTTCGCTAAACCCTAGATTAGTAATCACATGAGAGCAATATTAGACCATCAAGTACCGAAGAGGATGACATAAAAGAGCTTGTTGTAAGAAGAAATCGTTAGGGCAAGCTCATTTTCCAAACGATTTTGCCAAACGATTTTTTGTGACTCCAAACGATTTTTTGTGATTTTTTGTGGACTCAAACGATTCATTCTTTTGAACTTGCTGGAAACCTAAACGGATTTTTTCACGTCCGAATTGTCGTTTTCGACACAGTGGACACAATCAAAAGCGCGCTAAATCGTGTGTTCGTTAAAGATAACTGCCGTTCACGCAAAATGTAACGTAGGATTTCTACACGCACGAAAGAATGATCTGAATACAGTAATATTCAGGGGAGGAGGTTGCCCCTTTTAATTTACCACTCCTTCGAGTTGGTCGATTCTATCAAACGTCTTGCAGTCGCCCGCAACGCAAAATTTGCGGTGGGTCCCTGTCGAAGCAAGAGTATTCGTACCGGTAGCTATACTCTTGCGGCTCTTACATTATGCTGGTGCAATTTTTAGTGAATTTTCAGCCAATGAGAGTTAGTCAAATCACTAAAAATCAACCCATTTTTAGTGGTCTAAGCCAATCACAGCGGGCCATTCACTAAAAATAGAATATCTCCACTAAGTTAGTACTCATCAAAAACACATCTTAACGCGCCAAAAGACTTCACAACAGGTCCCCAAAAAGCATTGACTTTGATGAGGCAACAGCAGCGACACGTATGCTATGAAACGAAAATCAACGTCATCACAGAGGCCAACCCTCGATGGCAAACATAAGGAAAAGATCTCCCAGGGACAGAAACGAGCACATGCTGAGAGATTAGAAGCTTCAAGGCAAACAAATCAAGCAACCTTCATGAACTCATTGTATGCCAATGTTCGACGGCAGCAAGCTGAAGCTAATGCAGCTGAACATTCTGAGCAGAATCCGGATGGTGAAGGAGAAGATGAAAGGAATGCTAGCATACCAATCATTGACCAGCCTCCTGAGCTAATTGAACGACATGAGGGTATGCCTATAGTTCCAAATCTTGATATCCTTGACGATGAAGAGTTTGTGGACGAAGATCTCACTGAGGAAGAACCTGAGCTGACGATCATGCACAGATATCTCCAAGCAATCCAAAAACGGCTGCAGTATGAGACTTCCCCCAAGTTTCCAGCATTGGAAAACAAATGGCTCAACGAATTTCTGGGGGAAAATGACTGGTGGATCCATCGGCATCAGTACCGCTCTATCTGTAGATTACTGCAAATCCAGTACAAAGAGGAAGAAAACGAGGCTGCATACTTTAGAAAGGTTTATGTTTGGTTGCCTGATGTTAGATGGGGTCCATCTTGCATGCCGACTTGTGCTAAATGTGGCTCCAATACCACTGTCAGGAATAATGGCTTCCGCGACAACCATTTTGGGCGCAGAGTAGTCGCACTTGATCATGACTACTACTGTATTTCAAGGCGGTATCGGTGTAATAATTGTGAGCAGAAGGCAAGAGAGGCAAAGATAGCTATTCAACAAAGTGCTGCCGCGAACAATATTGCGATCCAATTCACCGAAGAGACGGACAGTGGACAGCAGTATTCATTCATGGCATGGAACAGAAAAACACTTGAGCTGTATCCACATGGTATCGGGCAAGAATTCCCCGCATTTTTGACCCATAGGTCTGGAGTGGATCGCCTCCTTCTGGACATGATGCGCCCACTTTTTGACAAAGGCTTACGACCTGGGGCATTTGCAGACACCATTCTGGAACTGCATGCAAAGCGGTACCATCAGGAATGTCTAAAACATGAACTTGAACTAGCAAAGACAGCCAATCGCTATCACAGACCTATGCTTTCAGCATTTGGAGACACATCAAAGTACAACGGATTGGTCCCAACTGGTTCCTATCTCATGTATGTGTACAAGTTGTTTCACAGCACCATCAAGGACTTCCTAGACACTGAAGTAAAGAAAAGGGGCGCCAAAATGATTTGTGTTGATGCCAGTTACAAGGAGCCAAAGCATCTTTGTCAGTATCATGGCCAGAATCTGTTTAAGGGCCTGATCACTGTCACAAACGAAATTGGGGAAATACGATTGCAATTCCACGTGGTCACAGATGACCACGAACAATTTCGACCATCGTTGATTGCGTTTTTGGAAACAGTGAAAGCATACGGCCAAAATCCGTTGGAGCTTGTCTTCACAGACAATGTCCAGGCCGATAGGCAATTTTACTTGGACACGTTTCCTTCTTTGGCTGAAGCCCAAGCTCGTCTTGATAGAATTGTGACCGGCGGCAACGAAGAAAGCGGTGATGAACAAGACAACACTTGCACAGTCGACGATGACCAATTTTTTGTAATTTCAGAAAGAGGTGAGATGAACAGATTTGTCACAGCACTTGACGAAATCATGCAAGACAAATCCGCAGAGGATCAAGTGGTCGGGCTTGATGCAGAATGGAATGTCAATATAGCCAGCTATGGAATGCCAAAGAAAATTGGAAAACTTGCACTACTAATTCTGGCCTACAAAGACAGTGACGGGCGTCACAAGGCTGCTCTATTGAGACTGCATAAGTTCCCTTCACTTCCGCATCGCTTGCTTGCTTTCTTGGTCGGGGGAACAAAGTTTGTCGGGAATTATGTAGGTGGTGACATTAAACGGCTCGGACGTGACTATCACTGTGAGGATGAGATGAAGAAAGTTTCAGTAGTCAACTTGGGACGTTATGCAAGAGATAGGGATGTTGTACAGAGTGGTACAGTCAGATTGGATGCTCTTGTTCAGATTTGTTTGGGCGAAACCATGCAAAAACAAGCCAGTGTTCGTGTCTCAAGTAAATGGGAACAGCCCTCATTATCGCAGGATCAAAAGAAGTACGCAGCACTGGATGGGATCAAGTCACTGGAGGTGTACCTTTACCTTCGGCAGAAACCAGACCTATCAGTTCGGCTATCAGTTGAGGAAGCAAGAGCTGGCCTTTGTATTGACGTTGCTCCACTTCGTGGAGGAGCCCTCAGCATGGTTGCGACTAGGTGCGCAACTGGCACATTGACAGAACAAACTTATGATGAATGGGAAGTGCCAAGTGATATGAGACTTGACACTGGACAGATCAATAAACGACGATACCGCGTTGTGAATGTATGTTCTGTGGTCGCACCACATTATATTGTACCATATGTGAAGAAGAAAGAAAGTGGAGGGCCTGTTTGTCTTGACGACTTTGGGGCTCCACCATTCTTTGTCATTCTACCTTTGACCATGTTGAAGCAGCACATAGAATCAGATACAATTCGCCCTTTCCCAAATATGAACCCAAATGTGAATAACATGACCGGAGCAACCGGAGGAGCAATTCCACCGGCACCAATAGTGCCGCCAGCACCGCCAGCACCTCCGCGGATTATGCAAAACCAATTGTTCGATCAGAACGAGACTTTCACGGAGGAGGATACTGGACAAATAGGAACAATGGACCAATTGGACGGTGATGCTGAAACTGCAGCTGTCAATCTATCCAACAAAGATGTGGAAATGCTACACAAGGTGTGCCTCCTTGGAGACAAAGCAGCTTTGGGAAATGACTTGTTGGCGTGTGCACATCTTGACAACGCTCCAGACAAAATCACTGACTGTTTTTCGGCTGTTGTTGGTGATGTCTTTCATTTAATGGATCGAATGAAAATTCCCACTCACCATGAGTTCAAAAAGGCTTTCAAGGTCGCATTACGAGACAGTGTTTTGCAATGGAGCCCTCCTGAGCTGGAAGAGGTGAAGACCGCAGTGAAGGCAAAAGATGGAAAGACTGACGATGAAATTGATGCTGACATGTATTTCAATGCAGCCTTCTGGAAGGCATGCGTCCCGAGAAGGGTCCTACCTCCTCGGTTGCTATATTGGAGGGTCCGAGCTGTATTTGTTTCGTTTGGAGGTATGATTGACTCGACAAGCAAGAAACCGCTTTTCAACAAGACAGCATGGAAGAAAGCCAACAATATTTTGAAAGAAATCTTGCGCGGGTATTATTCTGATCCTCCAGGATATTCGTTTTATTCTACAAAGTTCAACAAGAGAGGAGAGCCAATGGTCAATGCCTACGGTTTTGATATTCTTTCTTGCAGACGTGGGACCAATGACGTGGAATCGACTCACAAGTTACTTTTGTCAATATTTGGCACTTGGCATATTGGGCTTCAGATGTCGGATTGTTTGCTCAGAGAGAGAAGGCATCGTCATAATCAAAGATGTTCAGAGAAACGCCGGTTGGGCCATCCTTGCATAGGGCATTATGACACTTGGCTGATTGACGCTCTACAGATTCTGGTACAGGTCAATCATGGGATCTTGCTCCATCCAAATTGGATCAATTCAAGCGACTTCAAGAACACGCAAGAAAAGTTTGGGACGATTACACTGCATGATGCTGAGTTGGCGGAAGCACTTGCAAAAGTTCAGATTGACGAAAGTGTGCGGCTGACTCATGATATGCAGTATTTGTGTTCTGTGATGGGAACAAAGCTTCCGTTGTTACCTGTTCACACTATTGACGAGCGCAGGCACTTCTCAAATCTTGTTGTACAGCTTCAAAACGGCCAGGATAAATCTTGCAAGAAGATGGCACTGGAATGGACAAAAGCGGTGAACGGTGTTACCATTTTTCCAAAGCTGCCGGTACATCTTCGAAATTATCGCGACAAGTTTGAGCGGAATGCAAAAGTACGTCAAGCTTTCAAAGATGCTCAAGAGTCAAGGGAAATTCTATCTACCTTGAACAAGGCTCTTTGCCCAGAAATCGAAGCAGATGAAGGGATTGATGCAGAAGACACGCCACAGCAGTTGGACAATTATACTAGGCAATGGCCTGCAATATGTGCACCACCACAACTGCTGCTTCCATTGGCTCCATCTGCTGTCGAGCCGGGAAATATTCATGTGGGTGGCGTTCTCATCAACAAGGCGCCGGATATTGCACCATTAGATCGTATTAAGAAGAGAGGAAGAGGTCAGAGAGGGCCGGATAATCCTAGAAAGGGTGCCAGGCCCAAGCGCAGATGCATGTTGTGCAAGGGAAAAGGTGAGACTGATGATGCTGCCCGAAATTGTCCAGGTAGCAGACATCGAGAAGACTGCAAACACCTACAAAGATAAAAAGAGTAGCCTGTATTGACTTACCATTTATTCTGCTTAGCCTATCAGTTGCGCTTGTTTTAGTGGTGTTGTTTCAGTTGTGTTGATGGGCGACTGCTCCAACCCAATTTTATTGAAAAAAGTCCACGTCTTTTTTTTAAAGAGTCCCTTTTCTCTAAGCATAAAAAATATCATAATAAAACTGTCGCCACGAACCACCGTTTTCAACTTTTACCGTGGAGTTGGTGTGGAATACATGCTGTCATTCAATTTTGTGTAAATGTAAATTTTACCTGGCTTTTTCATTATATTCAATTTTCTGGTGCGAAACGCGTAGTGTTCCAAAAATAAGTATATGGTGCAATTCAGTTTTCCAACAGGAAAACCAAAAAAGAGAAAATCCAAAACGAGCCGGTTGATTCTACCAGTGAAAGACTGCAATGTTTCACAAAGCTGACGGAATTGTATAAACACTTACATACCGGCGATGATCATTCTCTTTCGAAAGGTTACAGCCATTAGTGGCGAACTCCTTTGCAATTTGAAACTGACAGATATCGATTTCCATATTTGTAGAGAATCGATACCAGGAAATTTATCCTGGCCGGGCCAGAATGACACAATGTGGCGTCTTACGACGCCATGAGAAGCATGCATTGTGTTGCAGGCTGGAGATGATAATCTCGACATTGCGGATCGTCTCTTTTTTTCCCTTTTCCTTTTCCTTCTTTTCCTTCTCTTTCCCCTTCTTTTTTCCCCGGGGGATCTAGTATAAATAGCTGCACCAGCATAGTATAAAAGCCACTCTTGCTCGTAGGTCGAAGAACAGCCACAATGATGAATCTAAGTTAGTACTTATTCGAATTTTAAAATTTTAAAACCCGCATATCCTAATAATAAAACAGCATAACACATGCAGCATCATGCAGCGATGCTTGAAGCCTCTTTATCTCTCATTCCTCTATCTTATAATTTTCGCCGCCGTTGATGCGCAGAAGTCTAAGCCTGTAACCGAAAGTGCTGTTGATAGACAGCCAAATGTCATGTCAAAGTTTTGGCCTCCTTGGCCGTTTGATATGCTGAAAAATCGAGGAAGGTCGCAAACCAAAGGATTATCTGCACCCAATGGTAATGCAAACACACCACCAATGGCCTGGGTAAGCTATACAGCACGATTTTCGATGTAGCTGTCGTCTCCATTTATCTCATCGTTCAATGATATTCTTACAGAAAATTGTGAAGAAAAGGACAACCGTCGCTGTACGACAATGTAGAGAAATAGGCGCAAGTTTGTATTGCCACCTTCCTCCTGCACTGCCCCCTGTCATCTTGCTGGCTAGCATTCCAAAACAAGCAGTGAAAAACGGCGTTATGGATGCTGAAGCATCTCGCAGATTTGTGCCACTCATGTCTGTTCCGTTTCTTCGAAATTTGGCCATTGGTGGATTGTTCGTCACCCTCATCAGCTGGGGTGATGCAGAGCTGTATCAGAAGCGAAAGCTGACACCGATCTTACAACATCGTTCTGTTTCAAAAGCTAGTGTCACGCTTCCTCCATTCCTCCCTGAGGAGATTGTTTCTCTGCAAGATGAAGCAATTACATATGGCATATTTACTGGCGATGAATTAGGATCCAGGCAACTGCAAGAGCAACGACTTGAGGCGGCAAATGGGGTAATTAAGCTTACTGAAAGATTCAAGTGTACCTATTCAAAATGGAAACAAACTCGAGAACATCGAAAAAGTAATACTTTCAATGCTCAAAGAAAAGTCATATACAACGAACTGGTGGCGCTGCAATCGGCGGAAAAGCAAAACGGGAAAATTAGATCGAAGAGTATTGATGCATCGTCACAGCAAACTGGTTTTGCTCTTGTAACTGGTGCCTCTACTGGAATTGGCCGCGCATTGGCTACAGAACTTGCAAGATGGGGGATACCACTCATATTGGTCGCCCGAAACCAGAAGAAGTTGATGTCTCTTTCTCATGACTTGGAGGCATGCTATGGCGTTCGGTGCTATGTTCTCCCAGCCGACTTATCTGTTGCTGATGCAGCTGAGGCCATACATCGCACTACAACGAAAAATGACTTGCTCGTTGATATTCTGGTCAACAATGCAGGGGTTGCGACATCTGGTCTCGCCGTCGACACCAGCATGTCTGAGATAGAAAGGCTGCTGTTTGTAAATACACTGAGTCAAACGAAGTTGTCAATATTGTTCGGCCGTGATATGGCCAAGCGCCAAAGGGGACGAATCTTGATGGTATCCTCGATGGCAGGTCTTGTATCCTCTGTCCCCAATGCTGCAGTCTATGGAGCAACCAAAGCCTTCTTGAAGTCCCTATCTTTATCAATGTCCAAAGAGCTCGAGAAATTTGGAATCGGTGTGACAGCGCTCATGCCTGGAGCTGTTGAAACAAATTTCAGGCACGCTGCAGGAATGGGGAATGCCTTATGCTGGTATCTACCCTTTTACTCGCGACCAGTGCAGTCTGTCGCCCATTTGGGTGTCACATCTTTGATTGACGGAGACACTGAAGTTGTCCCAGGCTTACTCAATCGCCTTTTTGCAAAGGTTGTTAGGCCTCTGCTACCTCGAAGGTTGGAGGCAATTTGCATTGAGGCTGCATTTAAGCCTCTGACTTTCCCACCTTCGCTATTTGGGGGGAAAGTGAGCTCGCTGAACGACAGGGCTGATGAAAAAATCGGTGACACGAAACCCACTCATGAAACTACATGGGGGCGTTTTTTGCCTACTCCAGGCTCCCTACCGAAAGTATTGCAGCTTGAGGGTTTGAACGACTCGCAACGAAATGAAAATAAAGCCAATGATCAATCAGAGGTCTTTTCTGGAAGCGATGCTGTTCTGAACGGTATCGATAAAGTTAGAGAGGAAGCCGATGATGTTAGTCCTGGCGAGCAAATTGGAAAAGATGAGGAATTGGAGGACAAAGGCACGGGAGAAGAAACCGAAAGACAATCAGATGACGACCTTCCAAAAAGTGCCAAAAGATCATGTGCGAAACCAACTTTGCTTCCTCCAAGAGAGTCTCTCCTACAATCCGAGAATGTGTTGTTACCCTGAGTCTGTTCTCGAGTGCAGTATCGCAGTAGACGCTGAAGCCCCTCTATTCTCTACATTGATACCAGGATTTGGTCTATTTCTAAAGGCTATGATAATAGCTAATCGAGTCGGTTCATGCTTCTATTTTTATCATTACGAACCGAAAGTCCAAGTGATATAGTGTTCCACATCATGGCGGAATGTGGCTTAGGCTATATTCACAAGACCCATGTATTGGTGGAGTGAAAAATGAATGCAATGTTATGTTTCATTTGTTAGAAGCAGGCGTTTTCACTTGTTTGTGGTTAGAAAAGTGGAAAAAACGTCGTTGTCTGTCAACAAAGATTGCGGTTCTACGAATGCGAGAGCAGTTTCTTTTCGTTTTTTCCTTTCCATTTCAAACAAAGACTCATACGTGTGATCCGAAAACTCCTCAATTTGATGTAGAGGAAGCTTTGATTCTTCGATGGTACCTAAAGACTTCGCAAGGACCCCAATTGACGAGAAGTAGTGTTTTTCTAAAGCCACCACCTCCCACAACGAAGTTTTGAGCGCATGCGTTTCTATTGGATCTGCGGATGATGTTACAAAGGCATCTTCAATTTCCCCATCATCACTTCTTTGGATCAAGAACCTACATTCTGAATGTTTTCGAAGAAGATTGGACACCAAAGCCAGCACGAAGAGCCCCGTCGAAGGCGGGGAACTTATCACTGAACGACAGAGTCTCTTCGAAAATGCAGCCACAATATGCGCAGGCAACAGCTCGTTCCGAGTCAAGCACTTCGAGAGAAGTGAAAGGAAACGCCCACGATACTTTGCGTGCATTACTCTGGGAGATACGAGGCAATAAAGTTGTGAGTAGAAGTTTGGGTATTCAAGTCCGTGGTGGGTAATCAAATGGAACAGGCCTTCCAGAGCGAACACTCCAGCGACCCCATCACCATGATCTTTGTATGCTTCCATGAAAAAGTCGGAGAACATCAATGCATTGGGAACGAAATTGAGAACACATTCTGGCAGAAATTGTAGAGCACGCTTCAATGACGATTTGGGTAGAGGAAGCTTCAAAACAGCGAGCCACGCCTTTTGGAATTCCCGGCGGCATGACTTCAGTTGTCGAATTGATTCGTTGCTCTGCTCTCTCTTTTGTCTTTTCCGAGGACGGGTCCTTGTGTTCTCAGCAGTCCCTTCGTCAAGTGAGTTGACCGAGGCAGAATCATTTCCATCTTCTTCAAATGTAGAGTCCTGAGCTGGTGGTTCAAACAAGAACTTGCCTTGCTCCCATCTATCCTTTGACGATGGCAAAGGTATCATCATCAAAACCTCCATCAGCCTCCCACCTATCATCGACTGCGATGAGGCAGACCTCCGCTTGTACTCCAAAACTGCAAGTCGAGAAATGCACCCAAACGAGTAGTACTGAATATCGCGATATGGCATGATGAATTCTGACTTGACCATATGCCGAATTCCGGCGTCAAAGTCTGCAGGATCGATCGAACAAATTGATTGGTACCACTTCTGCAGCAGATCAGCGTTCACAAATCGGTGAGAACTCTCTTTTTCAAGCAACGGTGATGAAGCGATGACTCCAAATAAACACCGAATTGACGACCTCCTTCCTTCTTCGATTCGATTAGTCAGCTGAGAGACCATTATCTTGTGATTCTTGAACAAGAACGAATTCCATTTTGCCGCCGCTTTATTCTCGGGAGGTGCTTGGCCGAACTTCAGTCCAGCTTTTGCGAACAGCCTACGAAGATCATCTAACCTCGAAGCATCTGAGCGAGCATCAGGGAGCTCTTTTGTAAGCTTCTTTATTGCTTCAGCAATCTCAACATGTGAGAGTGCCTGCTGATTCCCCCTACCACGTACACTTGTACTATCCCTATCCATTGAAATTTTGAATGATATGCGTGATCATCAGTCAAAAAAGTGGATGGAAACGATTGGTCCAGGATTGAATTGAATGAATCAATCCCCCGTGTCGAGTTGACTCGATGGACTAGAATGAATGGCTATCGCCAACCAATTGTGGCTTATAATTTTGATTATCTCCCTTTTACAACACTGTAACTAGTCAAACCCCTTTATCGCTCTGTTATCGTTCAATAACGGGCACATTAACTCAGTTTATCAGACCCAGCGCTGCTGTACTGCTCGATAGCAACACCAGCTGACCTGCCTACAATGGCAAATGTCCAAGTCTGTGGGAGACTTTAAAAGACCTGTTGACCGACATGTCAACGTCAGGATACCTATTGCTGAATTACACCTTGTTATGATCGACTATCATACAATAGCTGCGCATAGGATATAGTTCATTCTATGAAGTGTAAGATCAGAGGGGACGCTTTCAAAGGTTGGAGGGAGAGCCGAAGCGCCTGGATCCGAAGATCCGGCACTACGCGTCGATACGCAGCTCGTTTGGAGGGAGAAAGATCTGCGATTTATTTATATATATCAGCGATCTCAATCCGCCAAAATGGCCACAGGACCGTTTAAAATAAATCCGTTATTATATACGCCAACTCGCGCGCAAGCCGAACAAACGTTCATATCATTCGCCAAAACCCACACAAAATTCATCTGTGGTGACAGAAAATTCATTTGCAACACGAAACTCAACAACAACAGTTCCAACCCGCATATCTGATTCAACCATGGCCGAACCAGCAATCCTGCGCCAACTCTTTGTCTGAATCGGCCTCACTCAAGCCGTTGCCAACACTATTGTGGACGATCACAATATCAACAGTACCGCAACTCTGACCAAGATCAAGCCTGACACTGTCAGCAAACTTGTCAAGACCCTTCGACACCCAGGAGGCGGTGGGAATGGCCACGCAATCCCGTTCCAAGTGCAGCAAGACATCACTGATGTTGCATGGCTCCTAAAACACCGTGCCTGCACCTCTCGCGATCCAGCTATTCCGACCACTGGCCTCCCTGTCCTAACTGACAAACTTGAGATCTACAGAGATCATGAAGAGCAATGGACCGAACCAAGCTCCCTCGATATCGAAATCACCCGCAACGACTGGAACAAAACGTTCCGTACCATTGAAGAATCCCTTACAAACTTCAAAGGAGTCCACGGTTGCCCTTTGAGCTATACTATTCGTGTCGCAACTGCCATCCCAGCTGATCCGGATCCATCAACCGATTATGCATCAATTGAGGACGAAATTATTGCCCGTGCTCCTATTGTCAACGCCCAAGGAGACTTTGTTGCCACATTCCGCACTGACAATACCACCCTCTGGAAACTTTTGAGTGCGCTATTCAAAGACACTGTTGACTGGACTGACATCAAACATTGTGCCAGAACAAAGGACGGAAGAACTGCATTTCTTGACCTAAAATCCGCACGGCTTGGGGCCCAATACACCAACAATGTCTCCGCCAAAATTGAGACACGCTGGTTAGCTTTATCCTACGCAGGACCAAAACGCAACTGGAAGTTTGACGATTACGCCCGCAACCACAAGGAATGCTTCCTCCTCCTTGCCAAGCTTGATGACTACCAAGTACCTGACGAGCGAACCAGAGTCCGCAAGCTTATTGATCAGATTGTCACTCGAGAGCTCGACACAGCTATTAACATGATCATCGCTTCCCCAACGATGGGGACCAGCTTTGACAAATCGGTCGCTCATATCAAAGGGTTCATTGGCAACAGAGAAGATACCCTCGTCCTGGGCAAACGATCAAGTGACGGAAGACACATTGCCTCGGTCGACACCAGGCATAGACCCCCCAACCAATGGTATGCAATGCCTAAAGACGAAGGGAACGCAATCATGGAAGAACGCAAACGAAAGAAGCGCAAACTTGACAATGGCAACAAGAAAGACAAGACAACTCCCAAGGATTCTGGAGCAGGCAAGAAAACTGACAAGAAAAATGGCCAAACGCCGTATTGCCGAGCTTGAATCCAAGGCGTCTGCCCGAACACAGGATGGCACTGACAACGATGACAGGACTGGAGGCAACGCTCCTGGTAATGCTGCCAACGGAAACCGCACCAACCCTGCGCTAAACCGTGGCCAACAAGGTGATAATGACTGAAGCCAGCCCCGAATTGTCCAGCTTCGCACCATCAGCGCCATCCGGACTATTGTAATTACCCAGACCAGCCCGCTTGCGGAAGAGACCACGCTAGAACTGGACTCCCACGCTGACACCACTTGTGTCGGGTCCCAAGCGATGATCGTCTCGCGCTCTGGAAAGGTTGTGGATGTCTGTGGCTATGATCCTTCCACCACTAGCCGCCAACTTGAGGTTGTCACTGCTGCAATTGCATACGATCGACCAACCACCGGTGAAACCATCATCCTTGTCCTCCATCAAGCCATCCATGTCCCGAATATGGACCACCATCTTTTGAGCACAATGCAATCACGAACGAACGATGTTACCATTAATGACCGCCCCAAATTCCTTACTGCCTGCCCCAATGACAACGACCACTGCATCCTTGCCCCATCTGACAATCCCAACGATATTACACGCCTCCCGCTACGCATCCACGGCACCATTTCCTATCTCAATGTCCGCAAGCCCACCGCCGCCGAATACGCCAACTGCGAACACGTCTCCCTCACCGCCGACGCACCAGACTGGGACCCCCCCCACCACCAAATACCAACTTGTTGAAGATTCTCTGGTCGACAATGCCGGACGACTGCTGGAGAGAGGGGACCTGAAAGACCGCCACTTCATTTCACCGCTCTATTCTGAACTCTCCACCAATAATCCACGCATCATCTCCAAAACCGTTTCCCAAGAACATGATATCCTACATGAAATTGATCCCAGATTGAATGACCATCACTTCTCACAACAACTGAGTGACATGGTTCAAATCTCTTCTGTTCGGTCAGCATACAAAGGCCCTGCAGTTGACGCGATCAAGCTAGCACGCAACGGGGGGATTGGGATCCAAGCAGCCACAAAGACAATCCAAGCAACTACCCAACAAGGAGCTAGGACTATACTGCACCCATCCCTGACCAGGAGACGACCAACAAACGATCGCTTCATCCGACTCTGACAATTAAATCACAACCTATATGGCGATCTGATGAAAGCCAATGTGAAGTCCAAGAGAATGAATGAATACGCACATATTTTTGGTGCAGACAATGGCTGGTGCCGGGCCCATCCACTTTGAACAAAAGGACAAGCACCTGAAGCGCTATCCACCTTATTCAACAGGGACAGCGTTCCACCGGCCTTGATAGTTGATGGAGCAAAGGAGTTTGTCAGTGGGGACTATAAGAAACGTGTCCGACAAACTGGATGTGACTTCCGCACGACTGAGCCTTATTCACCATGGCAAAACACTGCTGAAGGCACAATCAGGGAGCTGAAGAAAGACACTGCACAAGTCATGCTCCGTACTGGAACGCCAAAGAGGCTATGGGATGATTGTTTGGAACATCGGGCCTACATCCGATCTCACACCGCCCTTAACATTTACAACTTGGATGGGGAGGTGCCGGAGACTGTTATGACTGGACAGACTGCAAATATTGGTCCATGGTGTGATTTCCAATGGTATCAATGGGTAAAATATTATGATAAGATTGCAAAATTCCCTGATGATAAGATGTCTCTTGGACGATACTTGGGACCAAGTCCTGGAATCGGATCCCTCTTGACTGGAAAGATACTTAAGCACAACAGGAACTACCACCACACCTCCACCTTCAGAGCCCTAACATCCGAAGAAATGGCTGACGACGCCAAGAAACGCCTACGTAATGACTTCAATACCAATGTGAATGACAAGTTGGGTGACAAGGCAAAGCCTGAAGATTTCAGTGAGGATGATCTCACCCCTACATATGATTGTTATGAGGATGACTCTGGAGAAGGATTGGATCTAATGCCTGACAGGGATGAGCAACAGCACGACTACTATGATCGGTACCTCAATGCTGAAGTGCTGCTTGCTAGAGGGGACAAGATGGTAACTGGAAAGGTCACTGGACGAAAGAGGGAAGCAGACGGAAGTCTTAGAGGAAGTGGGCATGCTGTCCCCATGCTGGACACTCGCACATATACCGTTGAATTCCCTGATGGGGCCGAAGCCACTTATGCAGCAAACGTACTTGCTGAGGGAATGTACCTGCAATGTGATGAGAACGGCAATCAATTCCTCCTGCTCGACTCCATCATTGACCATAAGACAGACAAAACTGCAATCCAACCTGGCAACGACAGATTCCGATACCATGGACGACTTGTCCAGAAACGTACCACAAAAGGATGGCAGCTTTGTGTCCAATGGAAGGACGGTACCACTACTTGGGAGCGACTGTCTGATCTCAAGGAATCTTTCCCCAGTGAGGTTGCTGAGTATTCCGTCGCAACTGGAATAGATCACCTACCTGCATTCAAGTGGTGGGTTCCATACATCTTGAAGAAACGAAATGCAATCATTGCCAAAGTCAAGAGCCGATACCACACCAAGCAAACACACAAATTTGGCATCAGAATTCCCAAGACAGTCCAAGAAGCCCGTGAACTTGATCGAATCAATGGCAACAACTTGTGGGAACAGGCCCTTGGGAAGGAGATGAGCAATCTTCGTGTGGCTTTCAAGATGCTCAACGAGGAAGACAAAGCACCAGTTGAGCACACCAAAATCAAGTGCCATATTGTTTTTGATGTCAAAATGGAAACACTCCGCCGCAAATGCCGACTGGTTGCTGGTGGCCACATGACTGAGGCACCATGCCCTAGCGTAACTTACTTGAGCATTGTATCTCGTGAATCTGTCCAAATTGCCCTATCACTTGCCGCTTTAAATGCATTGGAAGTCAAAGCTGCTGACATCCAGAATGCCTACTTGACAGCGCCTCTCGTCAGTGAAAAGATTTGGACAGTTTGTGGCCCTGAATTTGGGAAGGACAAAGGCCGCAAAGCTATTGTTGTACGCGCATTATATGGATTACGGGCCGCTGGGCATGACTACAGAACATTCCTCTCGGAGTATATGCAGAATCTGGGATGGAAACCTTGCTTGGCCGACCCTGACGTATATTACATGCCAATGACAAGACCTGATGATGGCTTTGAATACTACGCTTACGCACTCCTCTACGTTGACGACATATTAATGATCCACCACGATGCTATGGAAGCGCTCAAGAAAATCGACAAGGCATTCACGCTAAAACCAGACTCTGTTGGCGATCCCGATATCTACCTAGGGGCCAAGTTCCGTACTACCACTCTGAAGAACGGGGTTGTTGCATATTCCTTGAGTCCAAGCAAATATGTCCAAGAGAACGTATATTCCGCAATTAAAAACCACACGCAAATCCGGGTTCCAAAACAGCACCTCTAGTACTTCTCCTACACAGAGCGGCCGTAGCGACGCCGAAAAAGAGGTTGTTTTCAACTGGAAAACAAAGGACCAAGATGGGCAAAAGAAAGACAGGCAAGGGCCCCAGGGCACAAAGAGTATCCGAAAACGATTCCTATCATGCTCCTGTAAGCCTTGTCCAAAAAGAACGGGGAAAAGTGGACAAAATCTGCCCATTTGATGCTTCTGCCTTTTTGGGTCTGTTGGACGACGATGACAGCGACGAAATCGCTGATGATGATGAGGATAACAAGACGCCGCACAGTCAGAAAGCAAACTGGGATTCCTATTATATCAGTAGTTATCCTGTCCCACAAGAACAAGCGAAAATGGTCCAATCTTGCCCATTTTCAGCAGCCTTCTTGGGTTTTCCTGATGATGCTCGCGGTCCCATCAACACAGTTTTCGATGATGACGGTGGCATGGCAACTGAAAAGGCCTCCAGCACAAGCGCACTATCCACTCCAATGGTGGTTCTCCAAGATGCTGAGGAGGATATCCCTTTCCAGAAGCATGATCAAATGGCCCAACAGCTTTTCTCATTTTTTGCCTTTGGTGGCAAGAATGGAATCGCTGACAGACATGAGGCCCCTCTTTGGAAGCATGGAAGCCCCGCAACGCCTTGTAAGGTATCAAGGCTTGCTGAGACGGCCGGACCTTGGGTGCATGTGGCCCTTTTGACGATCATAATATGTTCTGCCAATTGGATGCCCTCTCCTTTGCCGACTCCTTGCAACAATCCAACCCTTGGCAAGGACCTATTGCAAAGCAATTGCTATCGGTTCCTTCACCCTCCTGTCGATTGGCAGATGCCTCAATTTGATTTTGCTTTATGGATGTTCAAATGTTGGCATTCTTCCCTCCTACATCCAGGCAATTCACCACTTATCTGCGGCTTCACTATGCCAGGACACAACCTACTGTCTTTGACCCTCTTTGCTTCTCCTTAGACTACAACCGGCCGCCTTTTGATGCTTGTAATAACCACAATGTTCTGGAACACTGTGCTCATGAGACGCTCTCCATTTATTTGGATCGATATACTCATGGCAGAAGGGAGCAAGAACACAAGGCCCAATCAAGCTTCAATACAGGCAGCACAACACACAGAAAATGCACAGAAAACAACATAAAAATACGCCGCCTTGAGTGGCAAGATCGTTTGAATAATATACCCATGGGTAGGGTACATACGTCTATTCGATAGAGCAACTTCCTTGGGATTGGATGCCTCAAACTGGTTCAACAGTACTGGACTCACCTCCGTATGGTAAATGGCCATGACAGCCGCTAACGGCATTCTAGAAACTTGAGATAGTTTTAACATGATTAATGCATCAAATTTATTATTATGTCCAAGAGAACGTGATACTCATGTCGAACTACTTAGTAGAGGAACACCATGGGACCACATTGAAGAAAGGATCCAGAGCCAGATCACCCTTACCGAACAACTACCGTCCTGAACTTGACATGACAGAAGAACTTGAAGGAGAGGAAGGAGCATCGTATTTCCAATCCCTTGTTGGTATTCTGCGCTGGATGGTTGAACTTGGTAGAATTGATATCATCACTGAAGTTAGTATGCTTGCGTCTCACCTTGCTCTTCCCCGCAGAGGACACCTCAAATCTATTTTCCACATGTTCGCCTACCTGAAAGCTCATCACAATGCTACTATTGTCATGGACCCATCCTACCCACAGATCGATCACTCTGTCTTCAAGACATGCAACTGGTCCGATATGTACCCTGGAGCAACGGAGCCAATACCTCCAAACGCGCCTGAACCACGAGGCAAGTCCATTGATGTCATCCTGTATGTTGACAGTGACTTAGCTGGTGACAACATCAACCGCCGCTCTCGTACTGGATACATGATCTATGTCAACAGTCGTGCCCTTGTGATTGCCCACTCAAAGAAACAGGCTCGGATTGAGACCAGCGTCTTTGGGGCTGAGTTTTGCGCACTGACACAGGGTATGGATCGAATGAGGGGACTCAGATACAAACTACGCACGATGAGAATTCCCATGAAGGGACCTACTTACGCCTACGGAGACAACATGTCTGTCATTCACAATACACAGAGGCCTGACTCTACGTTGAAGAAGAAATGTAATTCGATTGCATACCATGCGTGTTGTGAAGCCGTTGCTGCTGGTGAAATGATCACCGGTCATGTCCCGTCGGAGAAGATCCCAGCTGACCTAGCTACAAAGATTGTACCTCCCGGACAGAAGAGAGACGGATTACTGGACATTGTGATGTATGACTTTCGATGAAATGGCAGTCCTCCTGACTGAGTCAGGTATGAGGGTTATTAAGGTTCCCCGGATCATCTTGGATCCAAATAAACTGCCTGGACAAAGATTTGATAATAGGTATTCAATGGAACGCAATGAAACTCAGAGAGTGCCATTGCGAGGGGACTGAATTGAATCTCCCGTGTCAAGTTGACTCGATGGACTAGAATGAATGGCTATCGCCAACCAATAGCTTATAATTTTGATGATCTCCCTTTTACAACACTGTAACTAGTCAAACCCCTTTATCGCTCTGTTATCGCTCTGTTATCGTTCAATATCGGGTACATTAACTCAGGATGTACGGACAAAGACAGACGAGCCACAATTCGATTTAGATTTGGATTTGATTCCTACAAAGAGCTTTGGATCTTTCACGCTTTCCAATCTAAACTAAAAGATGACTACAAGGCTTAAGCTACTGCACTAGCGGACACAGAAGGCCTTCCCCGTCGCAGTCGAGGCGAACTCAAATAATAGCCGACCCAAAGTCGACACCACAACGAAGAACAAGTTCTGCGGAGGGCCTAACTCTTAAGAGTATCCAAAAAGACAACGGGAGTAGGTTGCGCTCAATGGAAGAATCAAACCCGCTTTCGTTTCCTTGGATCTGAAGGTTTCTTGGGCGACCTCGCACCTGGAGGCTTCTTTGGTTCTTTGGCAATCGTAGAAACCCCCTTTTTCCTTGGATCTGAAGGTTTCTTGACTTTCTTGGTATTACCAAAAGCTTTTGTTTTTCTTGGATCTGATGGTTTTATGGTCATGGCGATGCTGGTAGAAACTTCTGATGACATTCTCACTGTTTGGCATCCATCTTGTTTCCAGTCCTTCACATTTCCAAACCATGGATTCTTCCCAGAAGTCACTTGCTGGTCATCACCGAAGGAATGCACCTTTAGAACAGCATTTTGCCCTTTTGCTTGTTCGATCAATTCATTCCAGTATGGATTCACGACAATTGAATCACAGCGAGCGATGACAAAGAGAAAATGCTTCGCCCGTGTCAGAGCCACATTCATGCGTCTTACGTCACTTAGGAAACCGATTCCGTGGCTGCCTGCTGCACGAACAGCTGAAAAAATCACAATCTTCGCCTCTCTGCCCTGAAACGAGTCTACGGTGCCTACCTCGACAGAGTTGGTGTATTGTGGTCCGAGGAGATTTCGAAACAGTCCTCTCAAGAGATTTGCTTGCTGGCTATACGGCGTGACGACGGCCACTCGCCCCATGATTTCACTGTTTGCGTTGGTCATGTCACGAAGAGAAGTGTACAAATGAATCACCAAATGTGCTTCTGTTGAGTTTGATAAACTCGTGCCCCCCCGTTCTTCTTTGGAATCCAAATCCAAGACGGAGAAAGGCTAGGGATGAATACAACAGGGCAACATAAGTCCTTGGTCAATGTATCTCGTCACAAAATCAAGATCTTGACACTGAGTTACCTGTAATTGAGGGGCTTGTGATTGTATGATCTTGAGCAGCGGATTGCCATATTCCTCCCTCTTGACGTTTGGTCCATCTTTAAGAAGACCACCGTAAAAGATAGTACGAGGAAAATGAGATATCATAGGGTGCATGCGATACTGTTCATTCAACATGTGAATTTCTTCCCCTGACTCTTCCAGTCTTTGAAAGAGACTCCGGTCATACTTGCTATTGCGACCACTAAGGTTGAAAATCGTCGCAGGTAGCTGATTTGTATCGCCAACTAAAACACAGTGATGAGACCCCAATTGGAGCGCTGCAAGTGTTGATGGCTCTACTGATTGCGCGGCTTCGTCAACTGCGGAACGGAAATTCGCAATTTTGTTAGTTGCAATGTGAGTTCTAGGCTTGGTTCCAGCAGCCTTGGAGGATACTACTTTGGACTTACCAACCACAACCTCAAATTTATCTGCATTCTCTAGAACTCTATTACCAGCTGACCCAAGAGTGGTCATCACAATATGGACCGAGTTCAACACATGCGCTTCAAGAGCTTGTCGGACGGCAAACTGGTTTGCACCATTCTCCATAGATCCCTTGACGATAGTGTTCAATTCCAGATTGCTTTTGACTGCAAAGTAGTTTTCTACGAGCTGTGCAGGTATAAACGAGGTAAGACAAGTCAATTACATCCGATGAAAAAAACAATCTTCCTACCTTGACTATCCGGGTCATGAAAGTTCTATATTCTGGCATAGATGTTGCATGGAATTGCTTTTCTCCCGGTTCTGGAGGCGGGGGACACTCATAGCTATGTCAATTTGTCTCGGTTAGATATTTTGGTGCCAACAAGAGTTGGGAACGAGCCACTTACGTTGTTCTATGTTCCTTGTGGTTGACAAAGTAAACTCGACTTGTAGAGCTAACGACGTCTTCATCGTTAAGACAGCGTATTTCCCAGTCTCTACCTAGGGGCCAGGGTGCTGCATTCGTAATTGCATGAACCTTTCGCCTACATTTCGCGATATCACCGCTGATTCTTTGCAATTCCATTCGAAAGCCTGCTCAAAGACAGTGTCAACAAAGCTATGTAAAAAGAAGACGATTTTACAGGAATCACCTTCGTACCTGCAATTGATTTGTCCAACTGACCAGCATCCGTATCAGAAAGAATCTGATCTACCTTTGTCTGCAGAGCCACGTCGCGAACGACAGAAGACTGACCAACGCCGACTCTTATCATACTGCTTGCGAACGTGAGATCGAGCTCAAGAATCACGAAAGCATTCAGTCATTCAGAAGCAAATAATTACCAATCTTACCTTGGATTGTATCTTTGGCCACTCCCTGAATTAGGACAAGAAGTAAGAATATGATTCGAGACAGAAGCAGGACTGGATTGATTTCGGTGACGTCCTTACCATCGACAAAACGATCTTCCATTATGCGAAGGATAACATTATCGACACCAGCATTGCTTGGCGCACATACAAGTAGCCTTGGTTTCGCCTTTCGAGCAATATCTAATGCAGCTTGACGGTTACCAGATTGCATAGCCGCGATTCGGCGAACCTCTTCGTAATACTTATTGTACTGTCGAATATGGAGTGAGTTCAAAACTGCAACTAGCATGGTAGTCTTACCTGTAGAAAGAGAATACAAATGAGAGGAGTAACACATTATACTCGTAGAGGAAGATTTGAGACTTACCGGTGCCTGGCGGGCCTTTAATGAGTGTGATTCCGCCGTCACCATAACCACTACTAGCAGCAGATATTGCCCTTAGTTGAGATGGATTGAATTTTCGCTGCACGTACTCTGTAAAACCCTAAGGGACGCAACATATGAGTGTCGTAAAGTCAATGCCGTCTGTAGTGCCGGAATCGCAAAGTCACTTACTTTTCCCAAAGCACTAACACCTCCCATTTCTTCTACTAAACTATCGCGGCCACATTTTTTCTTCGACTCCAATGAACCAGAGCCCTTGACCGACTTGAGGTGATTACCCAGCAAGAACTTCTTCAATGGAATACTATCTACCTTACAGAGGGCGGTGAACTCTCTCAACGCCGTAATGTTGCTTCCAACGCGGAAGAAATACATTTGCGAGGAACCTATGATAGCCTATCAAAGTGCTTGAGAAGCAGTGAATTAGCGCCATGGGATTGCGGAAAACTTACCCATTTCCGCTTGCTAACCTTCAGGATCAGTCCATCTAGCTCTTTCCTCTGAGTCTCCGAGTGGCCAATCATACAAAACTGACTCAGTGAATCTTCAAAGCCATTTAGAGATGATTTATCAGATTGCCGTCCTCTAAGCATCATCTCCACCATATCTTTCTTTTCGACCGGGACTAGACCAAAGATGTCGTGACAATACAACTGCAAGTTGTACCTTTCTTTTGTCTTCAGCTGGACGTGACATGCATCTGTGTCCATAAGGTCTGTATGTAACCCTCGAGCTTTCCGGCCCGACTTCCACGTTGTCTCAACTTCGACCAAAATAAAAGGACTTCTACCATTGTCACGCTGCCCACTCTCGGTCAAGACTTCGGACACTAGCTGTGCCCGAGCCTCTGCAAGACATTTTGGTCCCCACGCCATGATGTAGTGACGGGTGCTAATAAATGTATCTGGTATGGGCTTGGTTGGGACGTGATGATTGTCCTGGTCCTCCACACCTTGAATTTGGCGGTAGATATCACTAACAAATGACCATTCCCTGATGTTTTTCCAGAAATCTTCCGGTGAATATGGTGTAGTGTATCCAGTTCCGTCATCATGCGGGTTTTTTGCTGCGCTATGCACTAGGCTTGCAAGGCGCGAAGGCGCCGTTGCCACTGTCTTTCTTTTTCCAGCTGTTTTTCTGATTCCTTTCATATTCCTGCTGGTATTGTCAGGCTGCGTCTCTTTATTTCCCACGGCGTTCCCTACCGCCTTTGCGCGTGCCGCTGCCAGGACTGAAGATGTTGTTGTTTTCTTGAAAGTGCTTGGTCGAATCTGACGAGCAGTAGGAGCTGATCCATCAGGCTTCTCTATTGGTCGACCTTGTCCTCTTCTCAGTCGTTCAGCAATCTGACGTTGTTTTTTAATAATGTCGTTATCAGATTTCTGGCCCGAATCCATGGTGAAGGTAACAGGAAATGGTGGTCGTGTAGTGATTTGTCAAGAACCTGACTTATTTGATTCATTTGATTTCCCATTCTGCAACTTTCGCACAGTTTCGCGCGACACACTCCAGTTCCACCAAAATCGATCGATCGATCGAAAATCACAGAAACAAAAATGAAAGTAAAGGCACTATCAAGGAGTCAAGCCTCCACCCAACGAGAATGTTCCGGAGACTTGCGGCAGCATCATCGGAATCTAGACCCAGCTTATCACCCCCTTCAGCGACCTCGTGAATATACAAGAGCTGTCAATGCTGCAAAGATAAATAGGATGTTTGCTCAACCACTTATTGGCAACTTGGGTCAAGGGCATCAAGATGCGGTTACTCATACTGCCATATCTCGAAAGTCGCTGCTTCCACTCTTGTCCGCATCTACCGATGGTACTCTTCGCCTTTGGGATCTGCCAACGAGAAGTTGCGTCTCTTCAATCAACGCTCACAAAATGGCAATCAAAGGGGTTGTCTTTGGTCTAGATGATGACTTTTACTCCTGTAGTGCTGATGGTACGCTCCGAAAATGGAACATTAGCGATTCGATGTCAAAAATTGCAGAGCAGATTAAACCTGATGATACATGGCAGATACCTGGTAGCTTTTGTTCGATTGATCACCATTGGACAGAACACCAGTTCATAACTGCTTCCGACTCTTCGGTTCAACTATGGTCTCCAGAAAGGAGCACCCCGATTCAATCACACAGCAATCTATGGGGTTCAGATGACACAGTTCATGTCGTCCGTTTTAATCCTACAGAGCCTCACTTGGTTGCCAACTGTTCAATGGATCGAGGTATCGGGTTGCATGATTTGAGAGCGGGGTCAGAAATGAAGAAGATGATACTCAGAATGAGATCAAATGATTTGCAATGGAATCCAATGGAGCCATTGAACTTCGCTGTTGCGAATGAAGATTACCAAGCCTACACATTCGATATGAGGAAACTTGATCGACCAACACAGATATATAAGGGGCACACGTCGGCAATTATGTCGCTGAGCTGGGCACCAACAGGAAGGGAATTTGTCACTGGAAGTTATGACAAGACTATTCGGGTTTTCAACTTGATTCATCGTAATGGCTTCGCGAGAGAAATATACCATACGAAACGAATGCAACGTGTGTTTACAGTGAATTGTTCGATGGACAACGCCTTCATTATTAGTGGAAGTGATGATACGAACCTTCGATTATGGAAAGCCAGAGCAAGTGAAAAGCTTGGACAACTTACTTCGAGAGAGGAGAGTGCCATGCAATACCGACATGCTCTGATCAAGAAATATCAGCATCTTCCAGAAGTGAAGCGAATTTATCGAAGTAGGAAAATTCCAAAGGTCATCCAAAAACAAACGTCCCAGGCAATAATACAAAAGGAGAGCGCAGAAAGAAAGCAGGCCAATCGAATCAAGCATTCGAAACCAGGAAGCTACAAGTTTGAAAGTGAAAGAGTGCGCGTAGTGAACAAAGAAATAAAGTAAAGTTTACGACAATGCTAGTTTGGACTAATTCCACGGTTCCAGTTCTCAGGCGTGTGTTAGTATGCTGTGTCTACACCAGCGAGGCCTGTGATGATAATCTTGTAGCCGTCATCAATAGGAACTGAACGATCCGTAATTGATCGAAGGATCTTTGGAAGATCTGCTTCAACATCAAGAAACTTTGCCAAATAGATTAAGAGATTGAAGTCAGCCAAAAGATCCACGAAGCTCCAGCCTGCTGTCCCACTCTTGGAAAGCTGCCTCTTCAGCTCGTCGTGCGATTGGGTGCGGTCGTCCAAATCCCTATTTGCTTTCGGAAACTGACTCACAAAAATCTCCGATGTGTGTTGAACGATGGGAACAACAGTGAGGAAGAAGTTGTTGTTTACAATCTTGCTTTCTTTGCCCTCCTGAATTGCAGTGAATGTTTCGTTGATTTTGCAAAATCCGGGATCGGGACTGATTTCAAGCGCCTCTTCAGCTACCATCGCCATGCACTGCTGGCTAACTTGAAAGGCTTCAACTGAAACGTTGCCATCGTCAGAGGCAGTGACCTTTGCGGTCACAAATGGCGTTTCATTGACTCCTCCTGCAGCCTCCAGTTGCATTTCTGCAGCCATGATTACTTCAGAGGCATTGAGAACAAAACCGTCCTCTCTAGGTGGATGACCAAAGATCCAACCCACCTTCTGGAGATCACACTGCTCTGCAATTTGTTCCACCGCTGCCTCCATTGGATCGTCGAGCATTTCAAATCCCTCCGCTAAATCTAGATCTGCGACTTGTGGCGGTTCGTAAATCGCTTCAACGACTGCTTTGAGGTCTCCTTCCTCGGATTTTACAAACTTGCCGTACAGATAGCCGAATCTCTTTCGTGAGAACTGAAAGCGCCTCAAGTACGACTGGAAGTCCCCAACACTAGAAGAATCTAAGGATACTTGTTTGCACACGGCAGATTCCTGTCGTTGAACTTTGAAAACAAACTGAGAATCCATAGCCACAAACTCGTTTAGTGTCCATGCCATTTTGATGTCGCGAAGCGGCATCATGCCCCTTCTGAATCCTTTATCTTCCTTTGCGTCTCTGACTTCGTTTGTTGGAATCAACCTGATACTTCCATCTTTATCAATTATTCGTTTCATGTTACCCTGCTTGATTTCGACGGGCTGTTCCTCGTCCTCTGTTGCCAGGGGCTTATCTGATACTTCGACACAGGATGACGGATCGACGCGGCAATGAATCATCGAACCATGCCTCAGTCCTTCTTCTTGCAAAGACTTTTGAGCGTTTAATTCGTGACTGCATGCAGGATCTTGACAAAGTGGTTTCTCGTACACGACGTGAGGCCGCGTAGTTGCGATTCCTTTTAGAACGTCTTCTACTGTAGAGCTTGGTCCCAATCCGTCGACTCGCCAGACGCCTACATTCGAGCGAACACGGATCAACATTTTTTAAGTCTATCTCGCTTTGTGCTGTGTTCTTCGTCCACTTGTTGAGCTCTTTATATCTTTCAAGACTGCAAACGTGCCATGTGCGTTTCAATAATGTCGATTTTTCTTTTGGATTCTTTGGGATGACTGACTCAATCGACTACTGTAGAATGAATGAAAATGAATGCCCAAAGTAAAAAATAATGCCAAAGGACGACAGAGATGAAGAAGGTCTGCGTCGCACTTACGATGTCGTTGTGTGTGGGACGGGGTTAGTGCAAGCAATTGTATCAGCGGCATTGGCACGTGCTGGGCTTTCCGTTCTCCACTGCGATGGTTCCGACTATTATGGCGAAATGGATTCTACTTGGAATCCAGAAATAATTCAGGAGAAAATCAAAGAAAAGAAAAGCAGTGCCGAATTATTGGCTGAAGTATCATGCAAATCCTCTCATATCGATAAGGGTTTCATAGCGATGAATCCAAAGGGTAGTGAAAGCAATTTGCAGTGGCACTCTGAAAACAAAGTTGACAGCTTTGGTTTAGACGTCGGAATCCTGGTTGATACTCCTTTCGGAAAAGGGACTGTCGTTGAGTTGCCAAAAAGTTTCGATGAGTCGATTGTTGTTGCCTTAGAAAAATGGGTTCTTGCCAATGGCAAAAGATCGTTGGTGTACTTCCGCATACCACATGAATATCGCCACAACTCCTTCTCTTCTCAAGTGCTTGAAGAGTTGCTCTTCCAGACGCAAGGAGTACAATCACTTCGTACAGCAAAAGCAAAACGAATATTGAATGACCATCGCATTTCTCTTGATGCTACACCAGCGTTTGTTCTCGCTTCAGGAAGAGCAGTTTCAGGTATGCTAGCTAGTAATGTTGCTGACTACTTGGAATTCAGAAGTGCAGAAGGGTTGTTTTGGCTGGAAGGAGGAGACCTCTCGAAAGTACCTTGCTCCAAGAACGATGTGTTTGGGACCAAACTGCTCGCTCCGATGGATAAACGACGGCTTATGAAGTTCATACAGCTCGCAATGGACTACGCAACACAGACATCATCCGACGAAGAGCGACAGCAGCAAGTTTCTTTGGAAACAGCTAATGCAATGGAGAATTCACCTGATGCACCAACGAGTACTTTGGAAACCGTAGAATCAGAAGTGCAGTCGTTGAATGAGCGTCACCTGAATCATGGAAGGTCTCTAGCCCGCCCGCAAAACAAAGTTGTGTCAACTGAAGCCTTGTCTATTTTGAAGCAGTGCATGGATGATGGGATGGCTTTCGACACATTCTTGGAGAAGGTACACAAGCTGTCGCCAAAGCTGCAAGCTATAGTTCGATACGCTATTGCCTGGGAACGAGAAGTTTCGAGCGTTTCGCTGGCCGAAGGGATGGAAAATCTAAAACTTCACCTCCAAGCAGTAGGGCGATTTGGGAACACTGCGTTTATCTTCCCTCTATATGGGAGCGGGGAGCTGCCGCAGGCATTTTGTAGATCAGCTGCAGTGTTCGGTGCAACATTTTTGTTACGGAGAGCCGCTGTCGGCATCAAGGTTTCAGATGGGAATGGTGTAACTGGTGCTTTGATTTCTGAAGACAATTCTTCGGAGTGCAAGATGATTGAGTGCAAAACAATAATCGCATCTGAGGCCTCTTTCTCACTTGAAAGAACGACAAGGTCGTGCAAGAGGATACTACGACGGATTAGTGTGCTGAGTGGCAGAGTGATCCGATCTGATGATACGGATTGTCACATCACTACTATTCCTCCGAAGACTGTTGGTAATTCGCACACAATTCATTGCGTAACCCTAGATCATACGCTGCAAGTTGTCCATCATGGGTGCACTGTTATGCATCTGACAACAACCGTGGAATGTGACAAAGGTCAGGAAACAGATGATGAGATTCTTTCAGAGGCGAGCCGAATGATAATTGAAGCAAGCGGAAGCCAGCTCGACGAAGTCTACCAAGTCTGTTTCAGTCACTGCTTCGAGCCGACTGGATTTTTTTCTGTCTCCGATGTCCCAGAAGGTCTGCATCTTTGCCATCACAGCGGACAGGCTTTGACTGTTGACAATGCTTTCGCTCAAGCAGAAAGCATCTTTTCCAAAATTTGTCCTGGCAAAGATTTCTTGAAACTGTCAGAAGACTTTGATGTTCAAATAAAAGAGAGGGCCACAGAAAATAATATCAATGACGACGAAAAAAATATGCTTGAGAGCGCTTTGGATATCGTGAGGAAAACCAAAGAAAACAAAAACGAACAAACACGTGGATAGGAGAATTGTTCACACCAAGCGATGTAAATGTCACCGGAAGAAGCACAAAGTTGTTTTTCCTCTCCATGGTCTTGATCCCCGCTGCATCACCGTAGTTGATCGTTTGTACGTTCACTAGTTCACATGTCAACAGGCGATTTTGCTCCGCTCTGAATCCAAGCGTGCTCAAAATTCGGATCAACAGATCTATTCCATAAGTGCTCAAGGATGATATAATACCAGACACTAAGCCGAAGTCAGTCGCCTCCTTCCCATGCCGCCCCTTGCTTTTCTGAGTTTCAAACAGAGATAAGAGCCGTGAGTGCATATCGTAGCAATAACACTTCACAATGTTTCGACAAACTGGCTACTCGATCTATCATTGTTTTCGTACTCGGATCAAGTGAAGAAAAAGTGTCGCAATGAGATTCATTTTGCCTTCCATCACCCTTGCAATTTATTATGTTTAGCTGCAAAAGCAGGGCTCTACTGAGGCATGGATAGATTCAGATGCAGGAACTCACAAGTATTCTATGGCTTCAGATTGGGTCCATATGTGCGGTACTGTACTGTAGCATTAAGAATGGCAAGACCTGACCATGCTGTATGAGCGGTAGGCACCGTTGTCGTGGTAGAAGGAAAAGGGACAGACTGGCAAAATATTTTGCAATCCACGAACGACTCACATCGTCGTCTCCTGCATTTCACTTTCTCATTTTGTATTTCGGTGTTGATCCCAGGCTCGCAAGTGGACCATAATTCAGGGGCTACTGTAGCTCTGCAGATGCAAAGACTACTTTTGCTCAATCTGACACAGAATCTTAGACAAAAAGGTGCACTGAAGGATGATTGGAGTTTCATGGCACCATGGAATCTGATACCACAGTTGTAGCTGGGTCTCGCGGTGCTAATATTCTGGAAGATGCCATGATGGTATATTTACATAATATCTATATTCGCTTTGTGTTTTGCAATAACTCCACCATAAGCCAAGCCTATACCTCGACAAAAAAAGAGGGACATAAAGAACTGTCACAGTGGCCAAGGTTGTATTGGCAAGACGAAGTTGTCTCAACTCGACGAGGTATAGCTGCATCTGGAGGGAAGAAATCTCGAAGATAAAGTATGCGATCATGAGGTTCGAGCTGATCGACAGATATGGCTTCAGCAAACGCGTTCTTCGTGAGTTCGAATGAAGGTCGAATCATGATGGGAACGTCTTTCCCTTCATCGTTCACAAAATGGGCGGAGGCTGCATCAGCAGAAACTGAGTTGCACTTACGCTCCGACTCTCTGGACATAACAAAACTTTCACTTTTCTGGACACCAGTTTGCGGGTGGGAGTAATCGACACCGGTACCACGCATTTTTCGTCCAATTACCACCTTTTTCATTTCTCCGCCATCAACTAAGGATTCATTCTTTTTCTTTCGAATTTCCGGGGCTCCTTCACGGAGTGCCTGACAAGTTTTTTCCCGTGCTCGTACGTCGCCAATGTCCACCCAAGCTACAACGCCAGGATCGAATCGAGAGCCTTGTCGTCGAAGAAAACGACCTCCTTTTCTTCTAATTGCTTCAACAATGGTTGAGGCTACTCCAGGCTTATCACGTTTCTTTGCCTGGAGATATTTGCTTTGATAACGTTTCACAAGGGCCCTGAAGACTCTGTTTCCAGAATGTGAATTCGTTGCCCCCCCTTCAAACACAAAGCACTTTGAATTAAATTCAAAGTGTGGTGGATAGAAATTGACAACCACAAAGCTATCTTACCTCGACCGGAAAGGACATCGTCTGGCTTGATATTGGTTACAAGCCTGAAAATGTTTGAATTCGAGTGTGGCAAATATCCAAATTCACAACTTGCTGGCATCCGAGATTGAAAGGAGAGCGTTGGTGCATGCTTCTGATCGATATAGAACCCCGAGCTGGACTCCTTCTCACAACATGAGTAGTCTCGAATTCTTAGACTCCTCAATCCGCGATTCTTCCCCATTTTAAAGACAAAATTCGAGAAAACCCAACTTGTTGTACGTAGTCAGTCTAGCCTGTTTGGTACAGCCACGTAGCTACTGTCCTGAGTTATTCAATCTTTTACCCCGATAAACAGTTCCTACTCAGCACTATTTTAAGATTTTCAGTTTGAGCTAACAATCTCTGCACTAAGACATGCCATGGAAGCAGTAGTATCGACCACTCATCGTGGATCTAATGGATACGAAAATGGGAACAACTCCACTTTCTCTACAGCCATCGTCTTGCATTCGACCCTTCCCCGTCTGTCATTGCTAGGGTTGCGGAGGGAAAGTCTCAAGAGTCAGTCCTTCGCTCGTTTACGTGCGACCGACAGACAATACGGACGAACTATAGACGACGGCGACTAGCTTAGGGGGGGGAGAAGGCGGGGAGAGAGGCTGAAAAGAAGAGGAAGAAGGAAGAAAAGGGAGGGTTTTAAAACGCGCTTGTTTCATCATCCAAAAGATGCAATAGTTCATAAATTGTATTAGTCATTGCATTTTCAATGCACTTCAGTTGATTTCACTCTGCCATCAGAGAAGTCTGAACGATACTCCACAATACATAGTAGTGCTCTATCTGAAAGATTGAAAAATCAGTTTCTATCGTTGGATCTATCTATTACCTCATGTAGTACCAGTCAATTTCAGTTGGTGCCAACCTACCATCCCATTCTTCAGGTTAGCTCAAAGTCATCCTAGGGGATCTACAGCGCTTCCTCATGATCGAGGGCTAAGGTTGGTCCTTAAGACAAGGTCTTTAGTCGTTTGATAAGGCAAAGAAAAACTGCTAGGGCCGTATGGAGCTTGGACCTAACATCCCCCCTAACATCATTTGAAGTCTGTGGAGAGTACTAATTTAGTGTGGAACAGAGTTAGTCGAATCCATCATTAGTGATAGAGAGCTGTGATTGGCTCATACCACTAATAATAGACTCGTCTTTAGTGAATCGACTAACTCTCATTGGCTAAAAATTCACTAAAGACCCCACCACCATAAAACAAGAACCCTGGAACACCAGGCAAATGTTCAGACCGAGTATTTTTGGGACACATCGCAAATTTCCACATGCTTGTGCCCGGAGATATAAAATTATATTTTTAGCTTCGGAAAATCTATGTTATTTCTCCCTTTAAAAGTATTAATGATTTATTAATTATGTGATGATTTATCAAATAGGGACTTATGGGCACGGATGACCAATTGGTCATTGTGACTTTTTCTGAGTTATAACTCAAATCACAACGGAATCCTGAGTTATAACTCACGGCGTTGAGTTATATAACTCAAACGTGTGAGTTATAAGTCAGACGTTATAACTCAAACATGTGAGTTATAACTCAAACGTACTCAGAAAATGTCAGGGGGGTGACGTTCTCCAATGGGGGAAGGGCAGCTTCAAGCGATCCAGCTCCTTTTCCTCAATATCTCCGAGGAGAGATTCAATGTCTTCATTGGTCAAAATCATTTTCCCCTTACCTTGTGATTTTGCGGAGGTGGCATTTGTAGCCATTGTTGGGTCGTTATTGGCGGTCTCGGTGGTCATGATGTTGCGTGACAAGATTTTTTATAGAGTTTGGATCAGGAAAAGTGCAGTACAGTACAGCTCGCCTCAGTTTTTGAAAACACGCTGTAGAAAATCCGTAGAAATATATGGTCTCTGGTAGGCTTTGTCAACAATTCATGGCTAAAATAGTACCTTTCAATTTCCATCTCTGCCGTAGAAATCCTACCAATTGACAAAAAGCAACAACCCATTTACATTGTCAACCTTCTGGAGGCTTGTTACCATCCAACAAGCCTCTCCGATCGGCAAATTTTTCAACGAATCCCTTCAATAGACATTAAGGCAGGGTATTGCCGAAAAATTTTCCGACCAGAAGCAAATGCCAGTCCAATTTAAAGCAAAGCAAGTTGCTGCTGTGTTGAACAACGTCCGACTTTTGCATCCTGCATACCAACGGCGATGGATGTCATAAACGAACTGGTTAGAGTTGACCATTCACTATGGTGGAAATTCCTTCGACTTTGAGTCAACAAAAGCAGACCTGGGTCGTGCAGTTGCCCTATCAATTGCCAAATTGGTAAACATTGACAATGAAAGTGCGAATGCTCAAGGATTCTACCGCCAAACCAAAAATGGCACCACCGCCTACTTTGCAACAGCTACAAATGCGCCCCCACCTATCAGTTTGCTTTATTGATATCTATTGCAATAGCGGTGTTAGAATAAAGCAAAATGTGCTCTAT